CGTGTGTCCGTCCGCAAAATGAAGTGAGTGAGAAGGAAGCTCATGGGATAAACAAACCGCTAACAAATCGGGTAGCTTACAGGATTTGAGATATCAATGTTTTGTAGCAGGATAGTTGTGATAACACTCTTAGGGCTATATAAACACCTGCTTAGCACACTTCCGTTCATTCCACATGGTGCTGCAGTGGCAGCTGGAGGGCAGTGGAGAGAGGAAGGGAGGATGAAGGGGAAGCGAAAAATCTACCGTCATATCATGATTGTGTCCCTTCTACTGTATGAAACACCATTGTGTTGCATACGCGTCACTTCCAGGAGGTGTTGGTGTCACAGGAGGAAGGGACCATAGCGGAGGATAGAAAGCTTGCGCAGGAAAGGAAGGTCCCGGCGGTTGACGGGGGACTAATCTGGTAAATAAATAAATCGGCTACTCAAGATGAGATCGTGCTCCGGTGAATCCGAAGACAGCCTTTCTACAACACCGTACTATTACGACTGTGGAGTACTTGGAAAAATTTTAGTGAAGCAAAAAAATTGTCAAATTTCTGCTATGTCGTATAATTTTGCAACGGCCGTTTTTTCAATTTTTTGATCCTAGATTTCTGGAATTTGACAAAACTGCTTGAGATTCTCTTGCGTAGGTTTCTTTACACGCCGAATCGAATGGCATAAGCCATTTTTGCGCATATTTCTTGGAATCCCAGAAACCCAAAATTTGGGGTATGTCGTAGAGTTTTGCAATGGAGTTATAGGAAGGTTGAATGACATCACAACCTGGAGTTTTGAAATACAAAATTGCTTAATTGCAAATTGCAGTTTCGAAATGCGCGTCATCGGCAAACTAAGCCTCGGAGAAGCAGACGAACAGAGCACGGCGCCGCCGCGTGGTCCCCCCCCCTTCAACTAAGTTAGCATCCTTTATTGTTCCCGATAAATGAACTTATGGCGATACTCCCCTATTTGAAGCATAAAAATGCGAAGTGTTAAGATCCGATCGGCTTATTAGGCTGATGTCAGACTTTGCGAATCGCGCGATTCGCTAGCGTCTGCGGTCGCGTCGCGGCCAGTGAATCATCAATTGGCTGGTACCGCAACGCGACCGCGGACGCTAGCGAATCGCTCGATTTGCAAAGTCTGACATCGGCCTTTGCGTGGAGCGATGCTAAGGAACTGCTGGTTTCCGATGAAGATTCATCCGTCCACTTGTGCAATGGATGATTCTTTCTAGTCTTAATAAATTTACACAAAATTTTCAACACAACAACAAATATATTAAAGTAGCAAAAAGAGACCAAATTCAGAGACTAGATGCCGAGTGTGAATGAGTGGTGTTTCGCCTTGCTAGCCTTCTTTGCTGCAATTTCACTAGTTTCTTCACGAAATGTATGCAAATAGCACATGCCACCATTGTACCTGAATATTTGCATTACCACCAATTGTCGTTGGAAAGCTCACCTGAGAGCTTGCTATGTACAGGAGTGGCCGAAAAAGAGACACTTCACATTTCAGACAGCATTAATCACACTTTGCTAAAATCAAATCGACTGCCCCAACTCAGTATTGAAGAGCACATTCTAATCTATCTAAAGTTACATGACAGCCTTCTACACCGACGACATCAGAAGATTTTCCCACGGAAACATGGTTCACGGTACGAGCTCAACGAGGTCGTCGAGGTACCATAGACCATTACGACGTCCCTGAAACGCTGGTCAAAAGCGGTCTTGCACAGTCACAGCTAGTGTCTCTGAAGCTATTCACCAGTTAATCGATTGAAGAAATTATGTAGCAGCTTCAGGCCGGAGCGATTACGGTAAGCCTCGACGGTGACGGCAGATGACGTCATATTCTGAAGACGGTGGGGGCAGTGAAGGAGGGCCTGCTTCTGCTTACGGGGGAACACCTAAGGAATATTCCGCCGTAAAACTTTCATTAACATCGGCACCTGTGCGACGAAAAGTTCGATGATGTGCGCCATGGGCAAAGTGTCTCTTTTTTTGGCCACCCCTGTAGAGAAACTATTTCATATAGAATCTGCTTTGCCGTGGTTTAGAAGCATTTGCCCTCCATCCTTCAACACGACGCATTGAGCTTGTTCAGCCATTGCAATTCGTCCCGAGCACATGCCATCCCTCGGATCCTCTCCCAAGACCACGTGGTAAATGGAGATCGTGGAGGCGGGGCACGCCATCGACCCAGGCCTTGCTAGCCCAAGGATTGAGGACTTCCTTGCTTGATTCTAATAAAAAGCATAAAGCATTCGCCGTTGAACAATCCCGTTTTCGGGATGCGCCACGCACGCCAGAATCGTAGTTTCAATTGGAATGTGGTTTGCCCTGTAAAATGACTCGCTGGAGCCAGCAATGTACAAGTCAATGTTCAGCCTTCCAGACAAGTCTGGTATCAACTGACCGACTCCCTCCGCGGAGATGGAGGGCTTCGTTGGCTTGGAGCACGTCAAACCAGGAGCCGGTCCTCGGACTGCGTGGGTAGGGAGCAGCAGCATTTTCCACTACACTGGTTCCGCCCCACCTTGAACAAAATTCTACAAAAAATAATACAACATGTTGCATAACGGAGCCCTAATCGCGCCCAAACTCTGGCGCTCTCGAAACAAGACCCTAAGGCGTAAGGCTAAGCCGTGAAGGGGGCGGGGGAGAGTGGAACGCTTTATGGTCGAGCGATTTCCATTTCATGTGGAGTCATTGCCCTCTGCTAGGCATAGTAATCAAAGACGCCTCATTGTCAGTCTTTTGTAATAGCGCCTTTTTCTGTCCGTAACATGAGACTTGGGCTTTATGAGCATACGTAACATATTCGAGGGAAGCACGAAGAAATCGGTTTCTCGGATGGGATGCCTCCAAGTAAGTTTGTTTTGAACGTGAGGTATGGTAAAGCAATATTCGCTATCTAAATGGACAACCGCTTCCCTTATCTAAATCTTACTCGGAAGCGAAAGACACTTCTAAATGTGTAGCGGGAAACGCTAATGAATCCGAACCTACCCAAAACAACTACAGCACTCTGCTGCCAGCCTCTCATAATACGATAAAGCTCGGATCTGTGCCTCGTATGTGGGTAAGACATGCGACTGAAACGTGAAACAAATGATTTCGTAGTAATTCTGAACATTGAGCAATGACAATCGATGATCGCTCAGAGGGCTAATTACGAATTGTTCTGGTCCTGGTGCATTTGAGAGAACGGGTGAAAATGATAGAATGAGGGGCTGGTGATGAACCAAATTTCCGTGGATAGCAAACCGTTAAAAGAATTATTACGATGGTGGGGCAAATTTGGTGAAGTCATTGAAGGGCATTCGTAGTAGGCGTTCAGAGGCGTCCCAACCACACTCCCAGCATGCTGAGGGGCCAAGCCCACCAATGGCGTCCAGGTACGTCAGGTCAAAACCGCACCGCCCTCTAGCCATGGTGATGAAAACCTTCACTGCAAACTTTCCCATTTCTCTGGGCTAATTTTATCAACTTATGTTTACCTTCAGCTACTCATTTTCCTGAATATAATCGCAGAGTGCGAAACGTTCATAGGTGGCTACTCGGGATAAGGAATACTGGAACAGCGTTTGACATTCGGAAATCATTGCAGTGCTCGAGTACGAATATTTGAAGGAATCTTTCGCGGAAAATTCTTGCATTCTTTCTTGACATGAATGTGTCAGTTGTGATCACTGGAAACAGCACACAAAGTTTCACGCATGAAGATTCGGTTTCCGAAGAGAAACAAACGTACAAAAACTACACTCTATGGACAATCGAAGGTAATTCGGGCGGAGCCAAAGGCGAGGCATGGAAAGAAGTTGGCCTTTGGCCGGCTACGTATCAGCAATGAAAGAATCGGGTTAAAGGCAAAAGTCGGGCTCAATAAGGGGGTATTATGGCGATTGAAACTGAGTATAGAGATGCGAAGTAGAACGACAGTGGAGAAAAAACTGAGAAAAACCGTCGACAAGGCCGTTAACAAAACCCTCTTGATTAGTTGACTCCCGCATCTTCAACACTAACGCTCTCTCTGCTAAACGGCTAGAGACTCAGACAGTGGTGTACCGCGTTAATAGCGCGCCAATAGCGCCGAGGGGAAGACCATGCTAGGTAGAAGACGATTTTCGATGCTAATCGCGCGTCGGCCGCACTTCTAATAGGTCCGCCTGTCTTTCTACTTGGTGAACTTCCATTTCTTCAGACACATTCTTCCCGACCTCAACTCCCCACTCATTTTTACTCACTTCTACTCACTACAAGAAAGTGTGCAGAAAAAATGTGTACAAAAATAGAGTAGCTAATCGTTCTTATACCTGTGAAATCGTAGTTCATTGAAGTACCATTTTTTGGACACCACGAAAAGATCGTCATCGATATGATTACTGCCATGTGCCTATGATAATAATGAGTGAAGCTCATTTCTTCAGAGTGAAAATCGCATGAGATTCATACCTGCTCGTACAGAATGAAGTTACCGATTTCTCTGCCACACTTATTATCCATCGTAATGGTTAAAAAGCCATCAGAAGAATTGAAAAAGGCTTTTCCGTTCAATTCATCAAACCTGAAACGTGGTTTTGACAATGGTTTCAACAGCGTTGATGCTACGAAAAGTACTAGTGCACACACAGCGCCTTTCGAATCTTAGGTCGGAAGCATAGAAAGGCGCTGAACAGAAGGGATCCAATAGCCAATTACGCTGTAGCACGGGGGTCAATACAAGTGGGTGAGCACCAGAGTCAACCCTGCGTTGCGCAGTTCGCAACGGCACGTTGAGAGATCCTCAACGCACGCTGTATGGGCGGAGACACAGACGGCTCGAGCATGCGAGTGTGAATGTTCGCGCGAGAGAACGTGTCTAATCGGGCGAAACTGCGCAACGTGGCCGTTGAGAACTGCGCAACGCAGGGTTGACTCTGGTCACGCCTTTCACGCATGTCAAGTGACTGCCCTCACCCCCCCACCCCCCCCCCTAGATTGGCTACACTCCCCTGGCTCACGAATTCCCCGATTCTCGTGACAGTATAGTAGCGGGCAGCAGTCCCACTTACATACATTTCTGTTCAAAAAATGCGGCGTGCCCACCCTACTTGTATAGCACCAACGGGGTAATGAGGTTTTGGAAAAATAGTGGTCCGTTCTGC